TTTTCTACAGACTACAGTACCCATCCTGCCTCTCGGGGTGCGTGTTGACGTCACAGAACATCAACAACTCACATGTGGCCTAGAAGGCGCTGTTGCGGTGCTAGCAACAACCGGGTAATGTGGAGCTGACTTCCCTGCAAAATCACCATATTAATAAAGATATTGAACAGCTTCAGGCATTTTGTTCAGAGCTATACCTGAGCCGGCATGCCTCCGAAGAAACCCGCCCCGCCCGGGGGTAATAAAAAAACTCAGGAGAAGAAAAAGGAAAAGATTATTGAGGTAAAAGTTACACGAGTTAGCGTGTCGTTGATTAACCCTAGCTGATAAACTAGCATACGGCTAACCGCGGCTACCGCAAGTGCTGACAGGTGAATCGTAAAGTTGTTCTGGCCTCTGGGCAGTTGTCAGTGCTTTCTAATTGTTCGGTCCATATTTCCAAGTAGTTACTAGTATTCTACTAAAGGCTCCTTCGGGTATAGTTAAACCTAAAGCTAGCTGACTGTCTCGACGAAGGCATGCAGCTAACCGACAAAGCTAAGCTGCTATCAGGGCCGTCCCGCCGCATGAGCAAGTGCCTACAGTTATTGCTTTAAGGTTAATATCCCCTGTTGAAGACGCGTGTAAGAATTACAGACATTATGGTAAAGCTTATGTAGTGTTTTATGAGGTTGTATTTATGGTTTTAAACACAAACGGGCACGAAGGCGCAGAGTGAAAGGCCTGTTTTCTGACCGGCCTCAGGACTGATCAGGAAACACATTTCAGTCTGTTTCAGTGATGTAAACCGGCTAGACATGAGTCATTTCAAGCTCAATTTGTGTGTATTTAGCTTTTTCCTGAAACAACACTTAATGTTATCAGCGTCTTCCGGTCGCTTACATGCTTTCTGTTGTGGTTAAGTTTAGCAGCGGGAATTTCAAGTAAATTTTGAAAGGGGCGCAGATTGTGCTCGAAGTTTTTAACATGCAACTTCATAATTCAGTTTCCTTAACACCAGACAAGCAACTCTTGCTTTCAGTTGCAAAGTTTTTAATTTTACAACAGAAAATGATGTCGAGCCAGGCTGTAGGTGTGACTTTTGTTGTTGGTAAAATAACTATTCAAACACATAGATGAGCCACATATTGCACTCTTGGTTCAATACCACCTGTTAAAATCAAAGCCTACTGTTATGGTGGATGGTGAATTGGGCCTATGGGTTTTTAATAAAGAATGAACAACCAAATAAAGATGAAACTTGGGATGAGTGCTGCAGGCAAGGTAGTGCAATTATAAAACATTTAGACACAGAGCGATACAGTGCCGCACAAGGCCAACCATAGCCTTCAGTTCTAATCGCTGTGAAAATTACCCTCAATAATGATGTCTAATTTTTATCATAGCTGTATGTCAGATTTTGAACAAGTGTGTCAGTATTTGTTGAATTAGACATGCATTTATGAAATGTTCCTTGTC